AAACCAAAGTAAATTTATTGTAATTTTTTTTAGCTTATTCAATTGTTTATTAAAATTGCAAATAATTTTTTCTAAACTATTTTTATTCATTATCTATATTTTTTTATTAAAAAAAAATTTTCAATTCCGTTTCAATTCCATTTCGGCTTCATCCCTGCCTCTAGTAATAACCAATAAGAACGAAGAAACCATGCGCATTAGAAAATTTAGATGATGAATTTTTAAGAATGGTTGATGTGCTAGATTCAGTTCGAGATTGTACTGCGATAGATGCTGCTGTAGTTAGCGTACTAGGTAGCATTGGAAGTTTTAAAAGTGAAGGTATTTAAATTCAGAAAGGTATAATATTCAACCATCACTAGTTTTTTCTTGGATTATTGGATCCCAAAAATTTCATATTTTTTGCAAAAAAAAATAACGAACCTTTGTATGACTATATATGTTGACAATACAGTTTAGGTTTAGTGTAATATTCTTAACGTTGTAATTGTTGATACATTTTGTTTTACAAAATATTTCTTTTATATAATCAACTCGTGAATTTTTTCGCATGGTGTGAATATTGTAGGATCAGGAATTCCTCATTAGAATCGAATACAGATGAAGTTTTACTCCTTCTAGGAACCAGATTCTCTATTAAATTAAGTATTGGATCCTGGACTAATCTCTGGATCGATCTCAGAAACTGGTTCTAATTTTGACATGGGACCTGTATTGATATGAATATTGTGGGGCTTGATGTACGTTAAACAAACTTGTCGGCAGCCTTTGAAGTCTTAGTCTATAGCAAAAAAGTCAAATTTTAATCCAAGTGATATTAAATAGACGAAATACGACGTAATTACATACTCATCATGCAGTTAACTCTATCTTTCGCAATAAACGTGATTCTTTTTAAACTTCCACATTGTGGAATTAATCTAACAAAAGATACTATAAGTGCATTCCCCTGAAAGAGATGACCGGAAACAAAATAATTGAAAAATTCATCAGCAACGTATCCCTCTTTTATCTTTGTATGCCCTATTCAAAGTTCCAAGGATTTGTG